TTGGCAGGAAATTGAACCCCAGTTCCTCCAAGCGTTAGTGAAGAGTATGCCTGCAAGGATGCAAGCTACTATTGAGAGCAATGGAGGGCCAACAGACTATTGACCAGACTTTTGAACCATCACGTTCTTTTTGCTTGAAAAACAATTCAGTTTTGTGGAATTGGATGGCTCATGTTGAGCGAAATTTTGGTGGCACAGCAAGTGCCTGGAAACTTTTGTCCCCCCCCTGTACACCACATCTATCCCGTCTTGCACTCCCCAGCCCAAAACATCTCCTGCAGCCCGCAGCACTCCAGCCCGATTTGTCGTCTGTCCGAGTTCTGCATCGCATTTACTGCTTTCCAGCACTGCCCACCTGACCCAAGCGTGTAAAGTCTTGAACTGTGAGACTATAATCACTCCTTTGACCCTGGATCTGGGCCCTAGAGTGAGGGAAAGCAAATAATAGGCTAAAACTAACTTTATTGGGCTGTTGTCTAGGAGGTATTTCAACCCTACTACTTGCCTAGTCCACAAAGTATCCCTACTGATCTGTCTAACAGGGGTCTCAAACACAAAGAATGAACATTCAGAGGAACAATCCTCTGAAGGATCAGTGTGGGAGCACCGATTACTAGCGTGGCTTCCTTCTTCCTCTTCTTCAAAGGAGGGGCTGAAGCTCGCTGCTTGACGAGGGGATGGTGCCTGATGGGACCTGTGACGAGCAGCTGCTCATTGATGCTGGAATGGAGCGTGGCCAACGCGAGCAAATTTTTTCTGGGTTAGCGGTTCATTGAGAAGCAATATTAGCTGTTACAGCTACTGGCTCGAAAATATCTGTATTATGCCGCAATTCTGCAATGGTTGTTGGCTCATGCAGGTCTGCTGTGGCGTTTGCTTATGAATACCTGCTGTTTGAAGTCGCTTGGATTTTGGAACACAAACCTCTTCAACACTTTTCGCCTTCTTTGCTTGACTAGAGACCCTGCCATCCAGATTCTCCAGCTTGATTCTCCCACGCTGCAAACTTTGAAGGAGAAGCTAGGAACACCTCACCTTTCAAGCACGTCAAATCTCAAATTCATGGCTAGGACAAGAGATCAGTACCCTTGACTTGTGTCTCACTGAAGTAGGCGGACATGTGTGTTTTGTGTGTTTCTGGGTGTTCCTGCTCCTGAGCTTGAAGAGGCTGAAAATCCCTATTATGAATAACTGAGACAGGGTTATAATGATGCCTTGCACACTGCAATATCGCTTGTAAACAGTCTACACTGAGTGATTGAGTGGAAGGAGTGAATGAAGTGGAAATGTGTGTTTGTGGGTGGTCCTTCTCCCCAACTTGGAGAGAAAGATAAAAACTCTGTTATGAATTATTGATACCTAATCATGATACGCATGCTGAAATAGTTGTTAGGCAAGCATGACCAGCACAGGGTAAACCTCTCCTACATTATCTGCTTGAGCAGAGGAGGAGGAAAACTGTTTACCCCAGGTTTCTGTTCCACTTAATACTCAGAGTATTTGTCAACAGCGTAAACCAGCACCTGGGTCTACCTTGGTGGTGGCTTGCTCTCCCATGGGCATTGTGAGAACAATAACTGACAGTCACAATAGGTTTGGGTCTGTCTTGTGCCTCCTGCTACTAACCAGTCAGTTCTGCCTAACATCACTAGGCAAGGGTGACTGGTGTGGGGAGAAACACCTCTCCTAAAATTATTTCTTGGCAGAGGAGAACAAGTGGTTTCACTGGTTTTCCATTCCACTTTACTCATGTTATGAATCACCCTCTGGAAACCTCTGGAACCTTCTAGAACATTCCTTCATGGAACCTTGTGGAACCTTCTGGAACCTTCTTTGCTTTCCTGACTTGTCTTGCTGTCATTTGTATCATTGGTATCATTGTATTACTAATTGCTCTTTCTGGTACTTTCTTTGAGTCTTGACAAGGAAGACTCTCAAAAGGCATAAAAGGGGGATGGGGGACCTGTCCCATCCCTCAAGTGAATTATTGTTTCCAATACAATCATCACTCCTCTCAGTTCCTTGTCTGCCTTGTCCATGTTCCTGACAACTCAGAATATTTGTCAACAGCACAAGCCAGCACCTGGGTCTGCACTAGCAATGGCTCTCTCTCACTAAGGGGATTGTGTAGAGTGATAACTGACAGTCACACTGGAATCAGGTCTGTCTTGTACCTCTTGCTTCTTGCTCCACCTAACTTTAGGACTGTGGTTGGATGTCTTAGGACGTTTGGGTTCTGTTTCGCTGTCTCATGACACAGCAGTTCACTCAGGTGAGGGCTTTCTGCCAACGATTGCGTAGAATAGACTGATAATGGAGTTACAGTGCCAACTTTCATTGTGGACAACGTGGCCGAGCGGTTAAGGCGACAGACTCGAAATCTGTTACTCTCTGGGTGCGCAGGTTCGAGTCCTGCCGTTGTCGTGGGAGGGCATCGATTACAGTGCGGGAGTGGTCTGGCTGTTTCCTTCATTGCCATTATGGGTCCTGTTAAGCTTCCAATAATTGGAGGCTGCTGGAAGTTTCAAAGGATCGAAATCGATATCCTGATATGCGAGAAATATGGCATAGATCACAAAAATCCTTTTGTGAAAAAACAGCTGAGACTCCCAGGTGACAATAGCAATATTCTGATATTTCTTGGCTTCAAGTCTACTTTCATTTGTTTTGGAGGAAATCAAATCTACAACCTGATATCAATATAGATAGCCAGGTAACCAGCCACTGGACCAAGCCATACAACACCAATATGGGTCCAAATGTCATTATATTCTTTTGATTTAGATCCTTAGAAATGATCGCAACACAACCAGCAAACAAAGCCTGTGGTTAGCCTGTTGCTGGTTGTCAGTGGCAGGGAAGACAATTGTGAGGATCTGTGTTGTGGCAGTGGTGTTTAGTGGCTGCTTGGGTTGTAGATGCTACCCAAAATCTTTTGGTGGCCTATGACATTTCTAATCTCATGGGTCAGTAGTTAGCTGGGGTTTTACTTGCGCTCCCTGAGATAATTATTGACAACTACCAACGTAGTAGGCCCATGACCGTGAAAATTCTAATTTTAAACTTTCCTGTAATTTATCCTGCATAACAGCAAACCTTTGTCCTGTCCTCTGCATCATAAAAGGGCTCCTTGTGTTCTTTATGCTGACTGGGCCACAGCATAAAGGACACACCCCTTTTCTTTCCTGTGTATCCTCTTTTTGTTGCTTTGGTTGATGTTGCTCCCTTTTACTGATCATCAATCCCCTTTCTGTGCAATGATGTGGTCTCCCAGAGCTTCAAATTTCATCCATCTTCAATTTTGAGGAAGGCTCTTCAAATTTGAGAGAGGTGTGGCTGAACGTGTGGCTGTAGCCTTACAAATTGTTCTTTCCTTTCCTGTTCTCCTTTTTTAAATTCTTTTGTGTTGTTTAATTTTTTCTTCCTTCCTTTCTTTCTTTCTTTTTGTCTTTACTTTTCTCCTCATTCCCTTATCCCTTTCTCTTTATCAATGTTCTATCTTACTTTCCTCAATAAAACTCTCTCTCAGGGCCATCTTATTGTTCTTTGCTTTTTGAGGTGGTTCTCCCTTGCCAGTGTGTGCTGACCAAGGAGGGAGAAGATGAGTCCTCGTAGGTCAGAGCCACCAGATCAAGCTGAAGAGCCAAGAACATTCCCCTTGGGCCAGTGTGTGAAGACCAAGCCTTGTGTGAATACCCTCCCCCAAAGCAAGTGTGTGGTAGACCAACTTTGGGTTGGGGTAGCTACAGACATAACATGTGGGGCCAGAGTGTTGCAGGCCAAGCGCACTTGAAACCATAGCCCATGTTTTAACCCCTATTTGCAAGCACCTTCTCCACCAGTATTAGGTACCACTCATCACAAAGACGTCACCACAATCACAAGTTACCTGGCCTAAGCCCTAACAGTGCCGATTGCTTACAGGCTAGCCCCGTCCAGCTTAATTGCTCACTGACTCACAATATTGCACCTGCATTAATTATTGTACAGCAGTTCTCTGCACATCATTGAAAAACACAGTCACATAGAAACCTGTCTCGCCTGAATAGACACTTACATCATATGAGCATGAGGATTCTGTCCCTTATAATTTCCAGGAGTTTCCCATCTTTGAGGACTTGTCCTTTCCCTTATGCCACTAGACCAAAGGTGAACCCTTGGAGAATGAAGAGGATCTCATAGGCCTCAAGTACAAGTAAGGTTTCAAATCAAGGCCCCAGTTTGGAATTTTTCACAAAATTGATTCCGCACCGGTTCATAGCAGGACAGGACCATTTGATGGAAAAAAGGAAAAAGAAAAAAAAATGCAGGGTTTTTCCAGGACTTTTTTTTAGCTTTTTTTTTTTTTTTGGTGTAGTCCTGGATGGTTCTGGGACAGTACTGGGACAGAAACAGGAAAACCCAGACTTTACCTTGGCCAGGTTTTGGGTTGTATCTCGAGAATTCCTCAACAGTCTGAAACCGTACGTGTGTTTACACAAGCCCAGACATGGTACAGAACCTCTTGATAGCATATCAAACCAAATAACAGCTTTGTTGTGCAGCCGCTTGGATCGCACTTAAGCTCCCTCTGTTGCCGCCCTCAGTACCGTTCCCGTACCTGCAGATTGCCAATGAGCGGCATCTGGTCCATCCTGGAGTAAGGCTCAGTGGTTTGACCAAATTAGTGCTTTATCCGATCGGTTATGGGCTTGCACGGTGCTTAAAACAATGTAAAATTTCACCAAGTGGCATATTTTGCATGAAAGTTTCATGTGCTTTTGTGACAATGAGAGCTTGAGCGGGCATGCCTGTGATTCTGCTATGGTTGACGCTATTTTGGTGTCCACCCCAACTGTCAGTGCTGGGTTCAGCAGCAGGGAAACCAAATCACAGATAGCCTGGCTCACCGCATCTTTTAGGTCCCCTCTGTCCCCTGGCTGCACAAACACCCCCCTGCCGATCATGCTTGGAATCCGCCTCGGACCATGCACGTCGGACATTTCATGCCTGTGTGAATCGGGGGATTCCGGGGATTGAACCCGGGACCTCCTGCACCCAAATCAGAAATCATACCACTAGACTAAATCTCCTTTCCCACACTGCAAAACAGAGGCTCTTCCTCACGCCACCACTGAGATTTCTTTCTGACTATTGGCTCAAGTCGATACAGCATTAGTTAGTTTGTGTCCCAGGGCGCCAAAGTTCTCATTGGCACTCCCTTTCACTGTGCTGCCAGGCAGACTGGGACTTGTCATCTCTTCAGTGGAACTTTGCCACACTCAAAAGTTTGCAGCAAGTCTCAGAAGTGGGCACAGTCAGCTTGCCCACCTGCAAGATTGTTATTCAGATGTCAGACCCAGTTAGGCCCTGAGTCCCAAACCCCAGAGGCTCACAAAATCTGAAAACAAATAGGGAGAAGACCAGAGACTCGCAGACAAAAAAAAATTAAAAAATAAATAAATAACTAAATAAATGAATGAATGAATGAAATAAAAAGTGAAGGAATGAGTGAGGCTTCCATTTAACCCCCTTTCGTTCTGCACAGGATTCAAACCTGCACTCCCAAAGGGAAATGCCTTAGCAGGCCATCACGTTAACCACTCTGCCAACAGGACCCTCCACAAGCTCCTTTGGGCAAACAGGACCTGCTGCAACTGGGCCAAGCTCAAGCTTTCTCATACACTGATCATCTGCAACTGCAGTATTGAAGCATGAGTTTGGCTGGATCTATGCTTACTTTAAGCTGCCTTCGACTGGGTGCATGCAAAATCCTGGTGCTATTGCTGCAACTGAAGTCATGTGAGATTATACTCACTCCTTTGACCCAGGATACAGGCCCTAGAGTGAAGGAAAGCAAATAATAGGCTGAAACTAACTTTATTGGGCTATTGCCTAGGTGGTGTTTCAACCCTACTACTTGCCTAGTCCATGAAGTATCCCTACTGATCTGTCTAACAGGGGTCTCAAACACAAAGAATGAACATTCAGAGGTGTCAGGCACATGGCAGGACAGGACAAGGCAGACAAGGAACTGAGAGGAGTGATGATTGTATTGGAAACAATAATTCACTTGAGGGATGGGACAGGTCCCCCATCCCCCTTTTATACCTTTTGAGAGTCTTCCTTGTCAAGACTCAAAGAAAGTTCCAGAAAGAGCAATTAGTAATACAATGATACCAATGATACCAAATGACAGCAAGACAAGTCAGGAAAGCGAAGAAGGTTCCAGAAGGTTCCATGAAGGAATGTTCTAGAAGGTTCCAGAGGTTTCCAGAGGGTGATTCATAACAATTCACTCCTTCCACTCACTCACTCAGAGTAGACTGTTTTACACTTGGGAGTGCCCTTCCATTCCCCCTTGCACTGGCCTGCGGCCGTGTGAGTAATTGGTGCTCACTGATCCCTCAGAGGATTGTCCCTCTTGTTATGAATCACCCTCTGGAAACCTCTGGAACCCTCTAGAACATTCCTTCATTGAACCTTGTGGAACCTTCTGGAACCTTCTTCGCTTTCCTGACTTGTCTTGTTGTCATTTGGTATCATTGGTATCATTGTATTACTAATTGCTCTTTCTGGAACTTTCTTTGAGTCTTGACAAGGAAGACTCTCAAAAGGTATAAAAGGGGGATGGGGGACCTGTCCCATCCCTCAAGTGAATTATTGTTTCCAATACAATCATCACTCCTCTCAGTTCCTTGTCTGCCTTGTCCTGTCCTGCCCTGTTCCTGACATGCAACATCGCCGTGATTTCCAATCGCGATTTTCAGCATAGAGGTAGATCCAGCATGCGCACATCCGTGGACACCTCATTTGTTTGAATCAGTTCGCTGATCAGCCAATGCCAATCTTCCATGGAACAAACCTTCAGAAAAAGATGGCCAATGAAAACACACCCCCAGCTACACCAAAACTGCCAAAAACCCAGAAGAAACACAAAGGCATATTGTCCACACTGCCTGGTGCTCATGGAAATTTGGATGCTTCCGGATCTGCTGCAAGTGCTGAAAACAGAACTTCGATGTGTAAACAGTCTCCTCTGAGTGAGTGAGTGGAAGGAGTGAACGAAGTGGAGATGTGTGTTTGTGAGTGGTCCTTCTCCCCAACTTGGAGAGAAAGAAAAACTCTGTTATGAAGTATTGATCCATAATGATGATATGCGCGCTGTAATAGTTACTGGGCAAGCGTGCTGGCACAGGGTAAAAACCTCTCCTATATTATCTGCTTGAGCACAGGAGGAGGAAAACTGTTAACACCAGGTTTCTGTTCCACTTAATACTCGGAGTATTTGTCAACAGCACAAGCCAGTGCCCAGGTCTGCATTGGTGGTGGCTCGCTCTCCCATGGGCAGGCTCAGGTCTGTCTTGTGCCTCTTGCTGCTAACCAATCAGTTCTGCCTAAAACCCCCCGCATAATGGCCATGGGTGTAGCACCAGTTATGCAAAGCGTGCGTAAGCATCTGAGGTTTCAACCGAAAGGGTGTTTGAAAGGTTGGAGCAGGGTGAGAGGCCGAGTAGTGAGGTCAGTCGCTTGTGCTGAGATGTGGAGAGTGGTTTTGTGAGAATGTCTGCGATCTGGTTGCTGGTTGGTTGTGAGTGTACAGTGATCTCTACAGTGGCTATGCCTTGTCGGAGGAAATGAGCACATATGTCAATGTGTTTTGTGCAAGCATGTGTGAGAGGGTTGAGCACTAGTGCAATTGCAGATTGATTGTCCTTGAGGATTGGAAGTGGCTGCTGTGCGGGGAGTTGCAACTCTGATAATATGGCCAGGATGTACTCTATACAAACATGAACTGCGTCACCCAAAGAATGGAATGTCTGAAGAGAAAGGAGATGGAGCTGCCGCATTTGGATTGTGCTCAACTGTCTGCAGAGAGGGGTTTTCAAGATTCATTGGTCTTCTCATCTGGAATGATGTCAGCCCATCCAATCACTGGGAGGACAAGTGGAGCACCCATCCTCTTCTCAATCGAAATACCAGAGAAATTTCAGGCATCTCAAAATCTCGTTTCAAGGCCATTCTGCGGTACTTGCACTTCTGTGATGAGAGCAAATATCCAACCCCTCCCACCTGCAGCAAGGCCTACAAAGTGGATGAGCTTCTTGATGCTGTTGGGAAGAGTTTTCAAAGTCTCTATGAACTTGTCCCAAATTTTTCTATTGATGAGATGATGATCTCTCTCAAGGGACGTCTTGGAATCAAGCAGTACTAAAAAAATAAGCCAGTCAAGTGGGCATCAAGATTTGGGCCTTGGCTGATTGTGAGACTACACCGAGGTCTCAGTGATAAAGTCTAGGGATTTTATTCGCAAAAACAAGCGTACCTTTCATAAAATTGCAAGGATCAGGACCCCTATTATTATTCCCAGTTCTTTAGTTTCCAAGGCGTTATCAAAGTGTATTTGTGGCTAACCTGTCTTTATTATTGGGCCTGCTTTTACTACTTTTGTCTTAACAGTTTCTGTTGCGCCAGGGTTTTCTCAACGTATTTTCTTTTTCAGTGACTAACGGAGACTGCCTGACAGCCTAGGGATAGGGTGCCTGACAGGCTGTAAAGGATTTTCGTCTTCAGCTTGCATTGCAACTGTTTGGAAGGGACCAGTCTGCTGTGAATGCTCAAGTAGCTACTGGTGGTATTGGTGCACTGGCCCCTTGTACCACACAGGCTCAAGCAGGCAAAATCACCCTGGGCTATCACATTCCAGTTGACTACTATGGGCGTGAATTTTATCCATTTACATTGGAGGATGCATCTCCTGGAACGATGTTGGAGCGTGTTTGATGCCAAAGGTTGCCCTGCAAATCCAGGACAAAGGACTTCGACTATCTGTCCACAATGCCACATCGGATTTTGTGTTGGAAAGTGTTTCTCTGATCGTATTTTTGGCAGCGGAACTTTTGATATGATCAAAAGAGAACCCTACATAATGGACCAACAAACGGCCAGCATCATCAGAGAGCCCTTATCCAAAACAGTCTTTGTTACTAAGTAAGTAGTTGTGTATCTTTGTTTTTGCAAGTGTGGTGCAAGTTGCAAAACACCATATTTCGAAATCCAGTTATCACTGACCTTTTTTCCTTGTTTTTCCAACTTTTGTTCAACAGAATCATCATAGAAAAAAAAATTGGAGCCATAGTCACTTAAGTCATTTTTTTCATTTCCATTTTCGGAGTAGTACGCAAATTTTGAAAGACTTTGGTGCAGTTTTTACATCAGTACACTAATAGGAGAAAAGGTGTGCCGCCATCAGCAGAGCTGCAGTTTTGTTGCAATTACTATTTGTCTAGATTGGGTTAAACAAGGTGAAAAGGTACCAACAGAAAGCCCTTTCAATTCTGAACGTGCTGGTACTAGTTTCATCACGAAAGTCGCATCAGTGCAGAAGTTAGTTATGGGACAACTTTGAGGGTCATTGCGCCGCATGTGGTTTGGTGGCTCGACATGTGGTGGTTCAGTCAATTATGGGAATGGCAGCCAGATGTTTAGAGAGATCCTTGCCTTGTCACAAGTTCCCAACTCCGACCCGAAAAGTAAAAGGAAAGGAAAGAAGCAGGAGCCAGCCATGACCGACACGAAAGTCGTTGCCTTCGATGCCTCCTCGGGATCGGTTTCGCGCGAGAAGGTACTGCCCTTGAGAAGCTAGGAGTCGCCGTAAACTCCGTCGAACTGATCAGCACGTCCGCAGCTCGAGCAGGCCGTTGCGGCGGCCCTTGACCGCAAGAAAGAAGGCAAGGAGCAGGGCGTTTTTCTGGAAACGCACGTAGGGCATGTTCTGCCCGCCAAGATGTGCGTTTTGTACTTTGGCCACTTCGCGTCTGCAACCGGCGAGCCAACAGCACTTTTGACTTGCCTTTGCTGCAAACCGCCTGTTTCTACTTCTGCTCATGAACCACAAAAAAAAAAAAAAAAAAATAGCCCGCTCAAACACCCAATGCCACCGTCATCCGACAACAAGCTATTGTTCATCGTCGGAGCGGAGAAAGAAGCCGTTCTAAAACGATTGTCCAAGGCTGGTATTCGCGCTGCGAGTGTGATCATGATAAACGAAATCAGGAAAGGCTGGACCCCAGAGCGAGAGGCCGACCTCCGC